GTATAAATGGCTCCTAGATACGCTGGTGCAACAAGGATTGATGTCTGCAAAGGAACAAGCATTTATTTGCCAGAAGTGCTACATGAAGTATCTTCGGAACAAAAATCAGCCTGAACCTGAACCCGAGCAGAACCAGGAAACAGAGGAAGAAGACGACTCCCCGTCCCATATCCTGCCGTTGCTGACCCTTCATGATCTTTTGAATGGATCATCTTCACACAAAAAATGCTGTCTCTGTCTTGTTACCTTTCCAAAAAATGGAACAAAATCATCAGTCTTACCAAAACGTGCAAGACATCACCTGATCTATTCACACAAACTGTGGTGTCCCACCTCATCCCGCGTCTGCTCCATTCACCTTAATGGTAACGACTTAGGTCTGTCTACAGAGGTTGTCCTTGATGGTAGAGGTTCCTTGGAATCTCAGTTACCATCAAAATCATCCGAAATCATTAATGACCTCCTAGAGGTGTCGCACATCCTTTCACAGAACCAGTCTGCGTTTACAATAAGCTTTTCTTCTCTTGATGATTCGGCATGCATGGCCTGGACAGGTTGGTCCAAAGATCAGTTCCTCAAAATCCACTCGCACCGTTCCCAATATCTTTCATCTGGTATATATACCAAGACTACACACGATGCTCTATTACTGTTCTGGGTAAAACTGAAAACCGACATTTCCTGGAGTCAGTGTTCTTCTCTTTTTGGAATTTCCAAGTCAAGTGTGTCCAAAACTTTCCACTCCATAGTACAGGCATTAGACACATCGATAGTCCCACAATTTCTAGGTCCAGATCACTTGACAAGAGAACAATTGCTCGGGCACAATACTGTCTTTTCAGAAGCATTTTTTGGAGATAAAGCCACTGCCATATAAGATGGCACCTATATTTATATCCAGAAAAGCTCCGACCACAAGCTCCAGAGAATGTCCTACTGTGGCCAGAAGAAGAGAAACTATGTCAAATTCATGAGCATTGCCTTACCAGATGGCTACATTCTGGACACTGTAGGACCATTCACTGGCAGCAAAAATGATGCTGCAATTACAAAAAAAGTCATGGACAAGCTAGTTACTTGGCTACAACCAGACGACAACGTTGTCGTTGACCGAGGTTTTAGAGATGTCCTACCAGTTCTCGAAGCCTCTGGCCTCAATGCTAGCATGCCGTCATACCTGAAACCCGGTCAAAGTCAACATTCTGACGTCCAAGCAAATCTTGACAGAACTATCACCAAATCGAGGTGGATTGTGGAATCCTATCATGGTTGTCTGAAACACTGCACGTTCTTCCGAACGCAATTGGTGTCTAACAGCTTTATCAATGTCATTGAGGCTTTGCTTCGAACCATCAAAGCCTGTCTGAATGGTATTAAAGGACCGATCTACCAGAGATCTCCAGAGAGAGATGCCAAAGATAGGCTAATGGCTGAACGTATGAAGGACCGTTTGACAACACCGAATGGTTTAGCTCAGAGAGTCAAGATAGTTCCGGATCTATCAAGACGGGCAAGGTCCGAGTTTGTCGAGATGGATGCATCTTCCGTACTGTTTCCCCGTTTCGATCTTGATTACTTGAGAACCATTACATGTGGAACGTATCAGATATCTCTGGCTCCTGGTTACATCGCCAAACATTTAAGTGATGACGGAGACTATGAGGTGTGGCTTTACCAGCACTCCCCAGACCTTCTCCGATGTCAAATACATTCCCGACACAAAAGCCAAACTAAATATAACGTTTGGATACGATTCACCGTTTCATCCGATGTTTAGGCCCCAATAAAGGACTACTACTGCCAGTGCCCAGTTGGAGAGAGAACGATGGGAATGTGTGCGCACATCTCCAGTATCTTGTACTACCTTGGGTATTACAGGATGCTGGAAAACCCTCGACCATTACAACCACAGGTAAAGAAATTCCGACAAAACTTGAAATAGTTTTCCATGCGGCAACAGAGTGCATATGTCGAAAGTATGTTTGGGGCTCGATATGAAAGATCCCCGTTACCATGTGACTAACCAAACTTTAAATATAGGTATAATACAATCGCCCGTAGCTATGAACACTCCCGTTAATGCGAAAATCAACCAAAATCATAAGGAACACATTTTGTTTGTTGTTCTGTCTATTTGTCAGCCAATGTCTTCAACCACGGGGACTTGTGAAGTAGCCATCTTGGATTTTTTTATGAAAAAGTGTTTCTCTCACTTTTTTTCATATCTGTGTACATATTCTTAACATACCGAGCAAATACTCTCGTTTTTTTGTTAATTATCTAAAGAAAGTCGAAAATCGGCAGTTCAACCATAGACTAACTCAACCCAACATTTGAAAATGTTCCACCACTTACATTTTGATGATTTTTCCTCTCATCAATAGCATATTACGTACTATTTAATAGGATAAAAATTGGTTTGCATCCAACGCCCATAAAAGGGTGTATTCTCTAAAAAACACAGTTTTTTGTGTCTAAAATGTATCGAAAATGGCATTTTTGAGATTGTTTCTTCCATAAAACAGCCAAGTGGCGCGATGGAAACATGACTTTTTGTCAATCATGCCATGAATGTATTCTTTACGGCGACTATCATTTGATTAGATTTTCATTAATATTTTACATAACATGCACATTTTATCAACACTTAGACAGCTTCTGAAAGGTACAATTTTGAGGAGCCATAAAAACAAACCAAGTGACCTAAATCTTTATACTTTATAGATTTGTGACCACAACGGCATATATTGCAATATATCTGAGTTTACAGTAACTTAATCATACAGTAGTAATGTGTCTGTAATGTGTCCCATAGTAAGTACACATAACAGTTTTCGGACTAAATCGCTGTGAAATATGTCACCACTTGTTGATGGGTTGTGCCACTGACAAATACAACCGCGTTCTGATTGGCGGATACACTGTAATGGGATGCTAATCACTAGCAGTGTTACATCCAACATGTTTCTGGTTCATCAATTCAACATGTTAACATGTCCATATTACGGTATGGCTTCACCCGCGCAAAAGCAACAGTTGTGATGCTGATTGGGAATACCGATAAACCAATCTGAAAGAATATGAGAAAAACAGAAAAGGAATATTCGATTCAAAATGGAAGGTTGGCCGTGCTTGGTTAGAAGGTTCGGAAGACGGTACCAGTATGTACAGTAAATGGTGCAGAGACAATCGTGAACTGTTGAAGCCTCGTGGATTGATAAAACGCAGTACCACTTTTATTGATGGGTGCTCATCTTACAAGTTGGAATCGATTACATACTTTTGTCACCAACTTCAGTAAATAAAATTAACCAAATGTTAACATGTCTCAATTCTTCATTGTTAAACCTAATGGAAATGAATCAATGTAGCCATTAATAATTTGGGCGAGTAGAATTTTGTTTTTGGCGAGTTGATTTCTATAGGCACTTGCCCAGTTCGGCGAGTAAAAAAAATTGTCAAGTTCTCACAGAGACATATTACTCCTATACCTATAAGAGGTCTTAGTCCGCCTGATTACATTGGCGGATCTGCGACCTCTTATTGCCGAAGCCATATTTCTTTGATGCGCATTCCGCCCTGGTTTGAAGGCGGAAGGGAAAATTCTATTTAATCACTAATTATGATTAAAATGTTCATGACAGCTATGCGTACTTACAGTTTTGGTATTTATTATCCCATAGAAACACCCAAACAATCACCACACATAATTTTATAAGTATTATCCACGAAAAGTTCTCCGGCTGTACTTCACCACTCCGCTGACCTATTAATTCAAGTATGGCGCTACGGTTGATACAAAATGCGGAATGTGAATTGATGTGAAACATGATTTCGTGAACTCCAATCATTGACGGAAAATGATGACACAACTGTATTTCGCATTTCATACCTTTCTCACTGTAACTATATATTGATATATATTTTTGAAAGGTGTTTGTACAATGTTAGGAAAATATGATAAATTGTTTGAAAAGATGTACATTTTTTGTTATAAAAATTAATAAAACATAAAGATGTTAAATTGTCTGTATTGAAATAGTTAAGATGTTCACATATACATTGCACCAATTATGAATTAAACTAGATCTATAATGTACATAAATACTGTCACTTTTTCTCTAAATTCCTGCAGAATCCATCAACCATTTTATCAAACCATACATGTTTAATATCGGATTTTCCGTGCAGCCCGTCATATAAATGTTCAAAGGAAAATTTGAAAACTTCTTTCACGTAGCGCGTACGACCACATCTTTTCTTATGTTTCCTCATAATTGTCTCTGCCCATTCAACTGTTGTGGACGAACCACCGCCACTTTCCCTGTCCATGTTTAGACCTCTAAGCAGAGAATTTAACCTCTGTACGTCTTCCACGTGTTTCTTTTGCATTGAAATTGTGGTTTCCTCGTCGTGCTCTGGATGTTTGCAGTGGATTCTATTATAATACCTTAAACATGCCGGGGGAATCGTTATGAAGCCCACTACAGCTGTATCACATTTTGCAATAATTTCACATTTAAGATTTTTCATTTCATCAAAAATCTCCAAAACGTCTTTTTCTGAAGGTAAAATAAACTTTCCTGAGGTATTTCTGCTCATCTGCAGTAAGTCATTGATACCCAAACAAATAAGAATGATGAATTTCACTGTCTCAAAGCTCTCGAGGAAATTCAATATACTGCTCTTCGCGTCCTCTATTTTAGCACCTCTTTCTACTAAATAATTAATTGTAAAATTGTCTGGCTGGTCATAATTACAAAAATTATGAGCTCGCGAGTCCGCTACTAAAACCAACTGGGTCGCCATTGCTGCTCACTTTGTCACTACCTACACTGAACTTGCACGGATGAAGGTTTTTCCCGCCAAAACGCATGCGCATTTATATCGCTTGTGTGGATGGTTTAACGAGCACGCTGTTTTAACAAAGTCTTCCTGTAATTATGCAATATCGAAACATTTGATATCTTAATATTTTATGGTGATTTTATTCTCTCAAAATGGATGTAACTGAACTAAAACTAAAGTTTGAAGCAATAAAAGGAAAATATGGTATTGATTTTGATCCTAAACCAAAACAAAATGTAATAGGATTGCTTCCTACTGGATATGGAAAGACATTTTGTGCCGTTCTGTCGTCAATGCTGGTCAACATAGAAAATCCTATTTCATTAGTTATCTCACCTTTAAGGACACTTATGAATGACCAAATACAGACTCTTAACAACTGGAACTTTACGGCCGTTAAAATAGAGCCGGATATGGATTCCGGAATTGTTAAGGATGTAAAAGAAGGCAAATTCAATTTTTTATTTTCCTCCCCGGAAATGGCTCTCAAACCGTATTGGAAAGATATTTTCATGTCAAAAGTGTGGAGAGAAAACACTATTGCCCTCGTCGTAGACGAAGTACATTGTGTGTCTGAATGGGGCGAGGACTTCAGGAAAGAGTTCAGGCATTTACACGAACTTCGATCGGCAATACGGGCCCCTGTCTTAGCACTAACTGCTACTTCTACAGAGGCTGTTAAACAAGACATCAAAAAATACCTACAGATTGATGATGCGGTAGTTATCGAAAAATCACCAGACCGGACTAATATATTCCTCGATTTCCAAAAAGCCGACTCTACAGATTTAGAAGAAAAAATAGACTGGCTGTTGACTCATCTACGTGAGAGAGGTTCAGCTGCGAAAAAAATAATTGTATATTGCTGCAGCGTAGATAGAGTTGCCGATGTATTTATTATATTACGGCGCAGTTTGGGAATAGATGCTTACGCGGATAATATTAAAGATTCCAATCATGCTCTGATTGAAATGTTTCATAGGAGTATACATGAAAAGTCTAAAACCAGAATTAACAGGAAATTTAAGGACCCTAACTCAACTCTGCGTTGTTTAATTGCCACTGTAGCTCTGGGTATGGGCATACAAATTAACGATATAGATATAGTGATGCATCTTGGGAGTTGGAAAGAGAGTAGTAACCAGGAATCCTTCCGTAGACAAAAACCAATACTTACATCAACATGGCTCTAGGTTATATGGCAGTAAACAGAGTACCTGTTACTCATTTACAGGCATTTAATGGAGGTACTCCAGCGTGCGAACTTCCAATAGATACATTTATACCAAATGAGGACATTTCCGCATGACTACAATTATAGGGAGAATATTAACTCGACACATTCCGTGGTTTAGAAATAACTTTCAGAACTGCGTAATTCTGCATATCATTCATGTACATTCAAATGAAACGAGAAAGAAGTCTGTCCTTGTGAACTTGGGTTTTTTTATGAGAACCCATCATCAACAAATGGCACGATAGGGATATACCAAAAAATACAAGAATATGTACCTTCCGTAGATGGCAAGCCATACCCAACTATAGTGTATGGAGATGGCTTGAGTTGTGAGAGGGGCAATTGTGCTCATAATGCATGTTCTGGAGAACTCGATCCATGGCGGACTTCAACCTTCCCCGCAAGAATTTCACAAGGAAATGCTTTTACTGCAAGACCATTTTTAAGACTTTGGCAAAGAAAGTGCTGCAGAATTTGGAACATTGTTCTTTCTGAAGAACACTTTCAACTTCCGCTCTGTAAATCAGAAAGATATCGGCTATTGCTTTTCCGACGCGTGGGAACTCATGTGTCTAGCTACGGAAGGAAATGTGTGTTTATCATCGATAGAAAGACTCGGAATGGACTCGATCGATGATAAACCTAGAGATGCACCAGATGGCATAGAAGTCGCGGACGAAAAATCGAAGGAAGAATATCTCAGAAAGATGACCTTCTGCAATATTTTTAAGGAGACTCTGTGGTACACGAGTCATCATATCAGTACTGCACATGCGGCACCAACATGGGAGATGATGAGCCAATGGTAGGATGTGCAGCAAAGTCGCAATGTTGCGGTCACGAGTGGTAACACCTCGGATGTCTTGGTCTCCAACTTGATGAACTACCGAAGGGTTCTTGAAACTGCGGCGATACATGTGCAAAGAGGAAACGAGGAAAGCGCACTAAATTAAAGAAGAATTCAATTGCTCCTGATAGAAAAGATCACAAAGAAGAATATTGCAAGGCAATGGTATGGCGAGGACTAAACCTATTAAGTAGGCGGGATGCTGTTAGAGAAGGCGACGGCGATGCAATCATCCGATACTGGAAGTTTGACATACAACACTTTCTGGAAACACCCGAAATACCCAGGTGAAATGTTGACCATGGTCAACCATGGTTATCATAGTATTTGGTGGTTTTTCATGGTTGACCATGAACTATCAATGGTCACCCATCAATATCCATGATCCTGACCATGGTCAACCATGGTCAGTTTTTCTTCATCATGGTCAAACATGGTCAGTTTTTCTTCATCATGGTCGACCATGGTCAGTTTTGCTTCATCATGGTTAACCATGGTCAGTTTTACTTCATCATGGTTAACCATGGTCAGTTCCATCAATGACCATGGTCATAAGTGTCAAGTGACTCCTGTCCATGGCCAACCATGGACATGCATACATATATATATATATATATATGATCATGTCATTATCGATTCCTAAAAAAGTCATTCGATAAAAATCAGAAAATTTCTACCATATCATACTTATATGTAAAATTAATAATATTAAATGCACTTTTGAATAAAAAAAAAAAATTGATTCAATCTTTATAATTGATTCATTACAAAACTGGTCCAAAATATCAATCTTTATAATTGATTCATTACAAAACTGGTCCAAAATATTAAATTAATTTCCATGGCTGAAAGATACCAAAATCTTAATCTTCAGTTCATAATGATAAATCTCCACCAGTCCTTCAACTTACTTAAAGAAATAGCTAAAAAAGCAATTTATTTTACTTCATTATCTCAATTACTTGTCAAAGCTCACCAAAAATCTTAACTTGAAAGGAAAAAGCTCATCAAAAATCTTAACTTGAAAGGCAATCCATCTGATTAAGGAACTCCTATTGTAAAGAGCCATATATAGTCATTTAACTTGAGGATGCACTTAATGTCTAGATGGTGGACAAAAAATGGAATACCTGGAGAAAACACAAGGACAAGTCAGTACAGGTCAAATGACTGACTGACCAATAAATCGATAGGAAATGAAAAATCAATATCGAAATTTGGTTTCCGGTGACCTTTTAATCATTTAAAAACACTGCGACCAATTAAGTTAGGCAAACAGGCGATATATTTAACTTCTTCAATAGTCATAAACAGTAATTTCTCTTTGACGAGTTCCACCGGGAAAATTACTTCCTCTTCACTTTCAATCACTCGAACAATATGTCAAGGTCCAGATCCACAAATGAAATTTTCCTCATGAATACTTAACTTTTTTGCATATGCATATATTTTGTTGGTATTTATGTTAACAACAAAATACAAAAGTTTCCTAATTTCTCCTCCATCGCACATTACTATGTAGCATACACGCTTTTTCATCCTGTTGTATTCAACACAATACAATTTTTCATCCTGAGGTTGAACATGAACACGTAATGCTTTTCTGAGTGATTGTTTGTCCGATGTTGCGGTTTCTCTCAAAAATTTCTGAATGGATTCCTCTGCTAGATTTGTCATGACCTGAAGACGACCTGCAACAGAAGTTGTATCATTTGATACTTTTGACCATCCTTTGGTCCTTTGGTGCTGCATACTTTTAAGATAGTCACAAGCATTCCTGTCAGGTACATCATCCAAGTTTATTGAACTTAGCTTCAACTGGAGTTCCTTGAGACGCAGACACTGGGACGTCACATCGCCCGTACCATGAACTGATTGAAGCAGTGATGCATTCCAGTCTTCGAAGGCAAAGCAGCTCCATGCCCATAATGGACCCCACATACGAACATATAACACCATATGTGCTCCAAGATTATGAATATTTAGTCCACAACTACCTTGTCCATACAGCCTACTGAAATTCTTGTAAAAATCCTCAAGGAGCTTTTCTGCACATTGAAGATGTTCTTCTAATATTTTGTCACCAAGAAGCAATTGTATACTTTCACTCAATAGAGAGAGATGTTCCAAATAACATCTTCTCCGGGCTCTTCGCATGTACTACAACCAAATTCTCCGTTATGCATAGTCATATTCAGAACATAGCCTTTTGCTTGAAGATCCATTGTTCCCAAGTATACACCAAGTCTGACAGTGATTGGTTTTAAAGCATTTTGTGGATGTACAGAAAATCCATGCTCATACAAATTGGTCATCTCCTCACTAAAAGTAGACATATAGTGAGAAAAAGGTGGTTTATCTTTCCCTTGCCATATTGCTGCCAGCACCATATTGTCTCTTGAAAATCTTCTAGTTGGTGGAAGTTCATTTATGGCTAAAAAAATAGGCCACAGTTTTATATTTGATGATCCATACAATGGTATACCATCTGTATTGAAGATTGCACTGATGTTTGTTTCACTTTCCAAAAACATGCCTGGCTGGCACAGGCTGCAGTAGTAAGTGCCATCGTATATATCTCTCAATTCATTTTTATCAGTCTCATCAACATGCGCTTTGGTATTCTGGATACTGTCCCAAATTCCTGGACTTTCCAATAGGAGTTTTAACTGTTTCTTTACATTGGCTAATGTAAAAAAATTTCTTGGCTGACGGCTAGGTTTTCGTTGTGCATTCAATGAACCCTTGTATCGGTACCCTCTGCATCCATCTGTTGTGCATAAGAATATGTCTGGGTCATTTGGGAATTTGTTGTTGCATAACGAACAGTAATGTATGGTGTTATAATCGGTGTTTCCTGCTATAGAAATAACTTTGTTGTAAATCAAGTTTTTTTAGCTTATCAGATGAAGGACATAATACTGGCAAAAGTTTGAACATGTCTTTTGAAGCAACACCAGAAGTATTATTTCGTATCATATAGGAAACCATGCATAAGGCTTGAATTTCAGTTTCAGAATATTCCCGAGAGCTGAATTCTTCATCCAAAATGCCTGACTGGCACTCTGATAAATCACTATCAAAGTACTCTGAATTTTCACTTGAGTCATCATCAGACCAGTTGTCATCATGCAGGTTGTCTATTTCAGATGTGTCACTAGACAGGTTGCCTAATTCGGATGTGTCACTAGACAGGTTGCCTAATTCGGATGTGTCACTAGACAGAGTGTCGTCGAACTCCGACATGTCTAACTCAGTTGTGTCATCACACAGGTTGTCATTTATTTTATCAGTAGACTTAGATCCACAACTTACAGTTGTATCATACAGATACCTATTTTTACATGTATTCTCATTTGAATGTAGCTCATAAGTGCAGTTATTGCCATCCTCATCGTAATCTGGCTCAGGATTTGAATGGGTGATATAGATTTCCTTGCAACTTAAAGCACTGTTAGAGTCAACTGGAGGTTCCCTGTTTTCGACCAATTCCTGATCATCATCTGATGACAGTATAGTTCCTGGTTTATTCTGCTGTAGTTGATGAAAAAGTCGATTTCTTGCAGATATATGACGAAAAGCAGTTCTACTTGGAACAGGTATGGAAGGATCCTCTTTATATTTAGAATAGACTGCTTTCAATGGACCTGAAAAAATAAAGAAATAAAGAAAGACATAAAAAAAATCAGTTTTTATAACAGTGTGTTTTTATTTATCCACCCACAAATAACAACAAGAGTACCACAAAGCGGAACAAAATAAGCCCATTAATATCCAAAACAAAAAAGATAATTCAAGAATTACAACCACCACTAAAAATTATCAAAAACATTTTAAAGCATCTTTAAAATACCATAAGATAGCATAGTGAATACCATAGACCTGATAGTCATCAAAATATTTCTTGTTAAACATACTTTGTCATGAACTTTGTGCAAATGAGATAGTATCCGTTGCTTCCTGCTCAGTAAACGTCCACATATCTTGCATTCCATTTAGAAGGAACATCCAACTTTGTAAAACTGTTCTTTCCCCTGGTTTAACTGGTTATTCATGTTTAATTTGCAAACCTGAAATAAATGAAAAAGAAAATGAAAACAGCAGGTGAC